GAAGAGTAAAAGATATCATTAGCTTTCATGCCCAACGCAGGTGACTAGCACGGGAAGAATGGACTAAGCATCTCTTCTTCTCCCTCTCACCAAGCAGAAGCCACTCTGGAAATGGGAGAGGGTCGAATAAAAAAAAAGGTGTGTAGCGTCGGAGAAAGGTCCGGCTGGCCAGCTGCTTCACTCGTGCAAAAGAATATTCAAATATAATTTAGCCATGAGGTTTCCTCTGGCTAGGTTCATTAACAATGTAAATAGCACTCGAAAATAAAACACATTCATCTGTTTATTACAAAATAAAGCTTTACTTTTGAAATGCTTCTAAGCTACCAAATTAGCTTATATACGTTTGCTACACTTCGATTGAAATATAAATGTATGCACACACAGACATTAAATTATTTCCATATTATTATTATTCCTTTGTGCGCAGTGCCTTTTAAGGTCTAATTGAAATTAATCGAGATAATGAGCGAGTGCTGTAGAATCTCGAGCTGCTGCTGCCTCACCCTTCTAGATCGAAATCCATTTGGATGGAAATACAATACAGTCATTCTATCCATTGATTTGTTCTATCCTTCATGTCATAGCCAAGGTTTCTATGACAAAGTACAGGTCGTAGGTCACAGCAGACCGGGAACAAGTCTACTGATGACTCTCCGTCCATGGTGATGCAGGCGGATTTGTATTTATTTATTTTTTAAATCATTTTTGGAAAAATCATTCGTTTCAGTTTGTCTCCCTTTTAGCAACATTTCCTTCAAACCCAGCCAACCTAAAGCGAGAGATACAACACATAAATGGCTAGACTACCTATAGACTGGCAGTGCAAAAGAGGCCTTTGTTTATGTATGTTCAGCTGTTTTTCTTCTCACTCTCACAGACAGGTAATTCCAGTCCCAATACTCAGTTGCTGAGTCTGTTATGTAAACAAATGTAGACATTTGTGTGAGTACAGACACAGACTTGTGGAGTCAGTGTAGAGTATTGTTTTGTGTTTATAAAAATTGCATTAGCGAAACTAGCATTTGAATTATATACAAAAAAATAAAAACAGCTGTAGTGACAAAGCTACATGGTGAGTGGAATGTCTGGGTTCTTGGTCTATACATGTTAAGTTATTCCAACGTGTATGCATAATCATTTAGTGGACGTTTTAGGAACGTCACTGTAAGAAATTCCTCTCAAACGATGCCTTTGATAAAGCCTTTACAATGTACACTACACAAAAAACTGGTGTCATGATTTGCACGTGAATAAATGTAAAAAAATGTCTTTCTTTGTGTTCTTTTCAATGTCTTTCATAAATAAATTACCACTTTCAAAAAAATATTCCCCAAAGCACAGCAGGATACAAATACCAGCCGAGCATTTTCCTAACCTGAGAAGCCTGTTATTTGTGCTGAAATAAAACCTTTCCCATAGCCCCGCTGAATGTGAAACTCTAGCTGTGCTGTTTCTATGTGTGGCTTACTGCACTGCATTCACTGCGAGTGCCCTCGCATGTATTCTCCATCCAGCACCGGTCCATGCACACCCTCACTAAGTTTTGCTTGGCACTGGAGCATAAATATCAAAGTATGGCTTACCAAGACAGAAAAAAACCCCTATCTATGATTTGAAGTACTATGATTTTTGTTTGAGAGCACAAACCCCCATATCCAACAGCTATACAAGACTGTATGTAAAATAAACAAAGGTGTCACTACAGAAATGCAAGTCTTGTTTCCTTCCCAAATGTACAGGCCACAAATATGCCTTGGTTATCAAGCAGTCCTTTTTGAATCTATGCCTAGCTTTGACAAAGATTAGACAGTTCACACGGAAAGGCTTGTTACCTAGCTACATCAATATTTGTGTAGTAGACTTAAAGTAGACATGCCACTGTGCCTTAAGAAAGAGTCTGGGGTTGACTAACTATTCACAGCAGTTCAATAAGCTCCAGGCGACCCCGAGTCCCCACACCACAGACTGCTGTTGTTCCTTTACCTACTGTATGTGCGAGCTGCGTGCACCACATCCACACTGCAGCTCTCTGGCAGGCACATAAAACACCCCGTCTAATTAGAATACAACAAATGTGTTCACACATGCACAGGCACTTTTGTCATGCCAACCCCAGGACAGCCCCCTCCCCGTCTCTCATATTGCCTTTGAAAACATATTAAACACCTTGACTTCAATCACTTATTTAAAAGCCTAATAAAGTCAAATGAAACGTGTGATTCAACAACCAATCTTGGTCCAGGGTACACTAGCACACACACATTCAATGACAATGACAAGTGGGGATATTTACCTTCCGCTGGGATGCGGTGCGCTCCGGGAACCGAAGAAAGCCTCTGAATGCCGGGAGAGGCGTTACTTCCTGGAGCTCTTGGCTGGTTCTCCGGGTGGTTGCTGTGAGCTCCAAGTGGTGCGCAACTGGCACCGTGCTGCTGTGGATGTAGTTGCTGCTGCTGCTGCTGGTGGTGCTGGTTAGATCCCATGACTCCGCTGCCGGTTATTCCATTGCCGTTCCCACCGCCGTACTGCTGGTAATATCCGGAACGAGAACGCGATCGAGTCCTCGGGGGCTCCATGGCCATTTGGTGGGGGTGAAGCGGGTGGAAGAGAAAAGAGGAGGACGCGGCTGGGGACTGCGGCGGAGAGCCGTTGGTGGATCCGGGCTGTACAAAGCCCCTAGCGCCGCTGTGGCTGTAGCTGTAGCCCCCGAGTCCTCTGCCCCCCTCCGCGCCCCCGTACTCTGTTCGCTCCGCCGACTCCGCCGCCCCCGCCTCGTCGAATAAATCAGCCCCTTTAGGGACAGGCTCCGGGGTGGAGGGCAGCCGGGGGCAAACTCTGGGCTCAAGAGTCGTTGGCTGTCCAGCGGCTGCGATTGGCATTTCCTTACGGGGGGTTTCCTCTGCTTCTCTGTCTGCGTTTTTCCTCTCGGTTCCTCTCACTGAAGAAGTCACTGTTTGAAAATACAAAGTTGGAGAGTGGCTAAACTGAGCTATATCACCGTGTACACAAACACTGAATGTTCACCCCCCATTTACTCTTTTTAGTCAAGCATTTCTGTTTCGACTTTGAGGTAGCTACTTCCCCCAAGTTTGTCTAAGTAACGCGACTAAACACAGCGTGATTCCCCAAACTGGTTCAACCACTAACGACAAACAGTGTTACCTATTCAAATATCTCCCATATTCTCGCGTTTTCTTTACCTTAACAAAGTATGGGAAGTGGTTGGTGAATTAGATGTAAGATATAGCTATTCCTATTGAAAGTAACGACAAGTCTGCTGGTATACCGACAACGTTTAGTTCATAACAACCGAGGAGAGCGTATGGCAATGGATCGCTAGCTCACGGCAAGCTAATGCATGCTAACGTGGTGCGCATAGCTTATTTTGGTAAACGCATTATCACGCCTATTCTAACCGAGAACAACCGCGTTAGCACACCCGGACGCTTTCTGAGAGCCGTATGAATCCCCGAACTGAGTTTAAGTCAACTTTGTCCACTTTAACTACCATTAAAACTTGTTTAGCCAGTCTGTGTAAGGTCGTTCACTAGCTTGGCAATCCAAATGAACCCCTCCTCCTCCGCCGACCGACACATAGAACAAGCCCGTAGCTAGCCTCCCACGCCTCGAATCCCTTTAAATTGCTTGGTTAATAGAAACAAAACAAGAACGCTTTTTAAAAATAACTTATTTTGTTGTCTGAGGGTGAACCGGTAAGGGTTTTCCAACTTAAAAAGGGGCAAACAGCCAAGCGCACAGAGAAAATATAAAAAGTGGTCAACCTAAAATTACAAAGAAAGAAGCAGAGCTAAAATTAACACGATCTTAACGAATGACCCCGCCTCTGAGTATACCGCTGAATCCCGGTCAAATTTTCTTTGCCCTGAATCGTTTTTTACAACGACTTACCTTGTATGTGCTCTCCTCGTACTGTACTCCTGCCTCGGATCTGTCGATAATATGGTGAGCCCAGCGTGTGAGTGTATGCGAATGTGTGAGTGTATGCGAATGTGTGTGTGTATGCGCCCTGTGTTCGCTTGGAGTCAGCGTGAAATGTGACAGACCGTCAACGCTCAAGTAGGATTTCACCAGGCATGTCCAATCGATACAAGAAAACCGAAACCGTCAGTAGTGGTTTCTCAGCATATACCTCTCCCAAACGCTCAGTGAAAACAAAAGAACACGAAACTATATTTAAAAGTGTCGACTATGTTTTGTTTTCATTAACTTTAAGGTATAACGGCGAGTTTAGCGGTACTATCAATTGTTTGTGGATCGGTAATCGATTATTTCTCCTTTTAAATCAGAAGCTGCGGATAGCAGAGAGGCAGGCTAAAAGGGGCTTTAAATTATTTATTTACAAATACCAAGCCTTGCCTTCCCATTGCAGCTGTTTCTTCTGGAGCCGCAAGTTCGCTTTGAGAATAACTATTTGCTGTGTTTGCAAAAGTTGCAAACCATTGTACAGTGGATTAAAAAAGGGAAACAAGATAACGATTGACAAACAGGAAAAAAACAAACAGGGTTGATTTAGCCCATGTCGGAAATAAATTGGCCTAATTCAATTTTCACCATCAAGGCTAAAACAAAGGCTTGTGCAACCCTTCTGCTACTGAGCCAGATTTCGGATGGAACAAGTTTGTTCATGTGTCTACACACACACACACACACACACACACACACACACACACACACACACACACACACACACACACAGCTTCTTCTGTTCTTTTAATAAGATGTTAAAATATGGTAATTTCTCAAATTTCCTTGAGCACTGAATGATGTTATACCGTGTTATACAGAGAGAACTTTTGCAGGGCGCTGTGTCAAAGGTCAGGATACAAGATATGTATGTATTATGTGAATTATTTTTTACATTTAACTAAATATGTGTAGTTCTAATATTCTATGAATCATCTGTCTTTATGTTTGTGTGTCAATGTGTGTGTGCTCGTGTGTGTGTTTGGCCGACTGTGTGTGTGAAGGGTGTGATTGATGGCATGTGAAGGGAAGCATGCATGTGATCTATGTCTGGCTGTCCTCTCTGTCACACACAAATACTCACACAACACACACACGCACACACACACACACACACACACACACACACACACACACACACACACACACACACACACACACACACACACACACACACACACACACACACACACACACACACACACACACACACACACACACACACCTAGTCCCATCCAAGTTCATCTCGCTCCCCATACCATATTCCATTGGTCTCTCATTTCA